AAACACCAAACTGGACACTCTACATCAGGTGGAAAATTCATGCTGTGGACCAGTCAGGTGATGAGTGCCCCAAGTTTACAGATTCATGATTCATTCTTGAAAATAAATGATGCAGAGGCTGTCTGCATCTCCATTCTTGGATTTAGAAAGGAAACTGTTGCAGAGCCCATGTGACTCATCGAGTATGGGTGGTCTGAAGATCTCAGCAGGTATTATACAACCTGTAGGCTGTTATGTTAACTTATTGCAAGTTCGTGGAAGCAGTGCATTATTCACAGAGCACAACTGGTATGAGGCAAAGTGGATTCTAATCAGAAAACCCTGGCTTAGAGCTCAGCTTGTCAAACCTTGACACTGCGTGCAGTAGGCACCAGAGACTGCATGTTATCACTGAGAGCAGTTTCGGGGTTTGGACTGTCATAAAACGTGCTGTCCGACATTTAGGAGTCAGTGCAAACAGAAGTGCATTTCTTGTCAAAGAATATACCTCAGATGACACATAAGCATGTATTTTTCCAGAACTTAAACAAAGGATGGAGTGCAGATTTGCAATTTGTTATTCCAAACTGATGGCTGTAAAATGAGGGACACAAAATGTACTTCTTTCTACAGACATCAACACTTCTCCACATTAAATTACTAGAATAGTATAAGAGTTACAAATCTTTAATGAATTAGACTGCTGTCCCAGGAATGTCTCCCACAGCAGAAAGGTTATGAGCAGATTTAGTTAATTATGATATAAAATCCAAAGGACCTGATAAAGCCTGTAACACTAACTGTACACATCTCTTTGTGTTAATTAAAATTGACTTCAGATCCAAGTGAACTACCTCTAACAGAGCTTCAGATTTGCCACTGGAATTGGTAAACCATGATACTAATTTTAAAATCCATCAATAATATTGTGACTTTTTAAGAAAGGGGTCCATTTGTAGTTTTGGTGCAAACCAATACACTGTTTGAAAGTAAAACGTAGAGAAAAATATTTTATGATTCTCCCATAAAAGGTTTGAATAGGAATCTGTCAGTATCTAAGCCACAAAGTAGCGAGTATAAGTTACTTCCATGCTAAAGATAGAAAAATATGTAATGACGTCTTCTTCAAAACATTTTACCCTTTTTACTTTTAAGATTTTTTCCTTTGTGTCCTTCAATGTCATTGGTACCTCTACCTTATATGATGCTGTAAACAGGCTATTTTAGCCACAGTGCATTAGCAAACTCAGATTTAACAAATTTACACAGGATAGGATATTGAGAGTTCTTTTTCAGAAGAATCAATCAGTGTGGGAAATTTAGTGCTTTTTTGTAAATGTATCCTATTTCTAACCAAACTAACCTGCATTTACTTTTCATTCTGCTAAAGTACAATAAGGAATTTGAAATGTAGATGCACTGAATTTTAGAAATCTGTTTTAAGATTTTTCTCAAACCCTCTCTTAACCTTTTGGTAAGTTTTCCAGTGATTTGTAAGGATTATACTATTGCCAAATGTGTCTTATTCTTATTTTTGTGTAATGTGGTTAGCTCAATTTAAATGTCTCCTCCACTGCTTTTAAGCATATGTGAGTCAGAAAGACTAAATATTAGTGAATGTACATCAATTTGATTACACTGCAGAAACCTTCCTTTTCAAATGACATACCTGATCAGGGAATGTAAACGGTGAAAGACCAGAGGAGTTTAGCCAAAGACATTTACACTGGGCTTTACCACACTAGTCCTCAGCAAGTGTCAATGTGGCACAATGACACGAAATGTGCCTATACTACTCTCTTTTTCTCAGTCTAGACAGGATATGTGGGATTTCAGTTTTACATTTGACTGCAAAGACCATCTGGGCTTCAATTACAAAAAGTTAAGCAGACTGCAGATAGTCTGAAAAACCAAGTATATGTCATCAACAGGGTTGATCAACAGGAGTTCTATTGTGAAAGCCACAGACTAGTAATCTGTGTGGCCACAGTTGGAAGAAATATACAGTACAGAAAATTGTACATGTCTGACATAGGTTTTTTGTGTTCTTTTCTGTTCCTTTCCTCCAGTACAACCTAGGCAAGTTTTTACATGTTCACTGGTCACTGAGCCCTCAGTGTCCCGAGTTGGCCCAGATCATCCCATAAATGTTCACTAGAGCCGAAGTCTGACAAATAGGGCGTCCACAGCATAGCAGTAACATTCCCTTCTTCACATGAAAACCATCATTACACATGCAGTGTGAGGACATGCACTGTCCTGCTTGAACATCACATCAGGATGAGGCCTCAGGAAGGAGAGATGTCACTGGACGTGATCAACATCGCTCTGTCCTATCAGGGTTCTCTCACTCACCACAAGTGGAGCTCTGCAGCGACAAGACACTCCTGCCCACACCATCATTTTGAAATCCTGCTTCAATCGAGCTCTCCCGCACCGTGGCCTAAAATTTTTATGTCATACTGTATGTGGTCTATAAGTTGCTTGCAATGTCTTGCCAATTTAGAAACTGCTGTCTGTATAAACAGACCATGAGCTACAGTGCACCAACCTAGTCCAGCTTCCAACATACTGATGGCAGGAAGGAGCTGTTCTCCTGATAAGGTGAGCGTATTGGTTCTTGTATGTGTTTTTCTATCTTGATTTTCTATTATGAAATGTGCCCATACCACCTGGACAAGTAAAATTACCTCATCACTTGTGCTAAGTCCACTCTCATTGATGTGGTGATTTAGTGCTCAAGCAACAATCACTGCCAGTCGTGAATGATCAATTCAGCCAAATAAAACCCAAATTTATATTTGTGTTTAATCAATATCTAAAATCCATATGCTTTAGTTGAATAAAAACATACATGCATACTGATTTATTTGTTTTGGTGCTCAGTATATTATTTGTATTTATCATTATATTTGTGAAGGCATAGTAACATGCCTAATGATTTAACCACTTAATACAATTTATTTCCCAGCATCTGGCATTGTATTAGTAATCATGTCTTTCTTCTTCTTCAAGAAGCTTTAAACAGACAGCATGAAATGCCATAAACAGAAGATTTGGTATGGGGTATTGGGTAGGTTACCTATCTCTACAAAAAAATATACTTTGTTTATAGAAACAACAATGTTAACATCATAGCCTTAAAATAAATATCTTTTCTCTTTTTTCTAGTCTCTTATGCACTTTCTTTTTCTCCAGATCGTTATAACATAATTTGCTAATATGACTTCCAATGCTGCAACTCAAAACATGCAGAGAACAATCTTCCTATGTAAACAATTCCAAGGAAATCATCTTTCCAGGTACAGTATGTACCAGGTTCATATAGTTTGCATATACAGTAACAGCAAAAACAAAAAACCAAGACAATGTGCAAATGCACAATCCTATTTTTAGCATTACTTATTTTTCCGTTATCTTTCAAGAAATCATATGCTCTGCATTTTTTAGCACATTAAATCATAAGCACTATTTGTACCAGCTCTATCTCCAGGTCAGACCATAACATAACAAAAAAATAATCCTGTGAAATGGAACTGCATTACATCAAATATACTGTAGTTCCCAATTTTAAACCTGGAGCAATTTTCAGTTATTGGGATTTCATTCAGCTGTAAATAAAATCTTCACACTAGCTTACAAAGTTTTCCCATTTCAGAATTAAAATATGGACCAACATATTGCAAGCAAAGAAAACAGCAGAATATGTTGCATTTTTTCAAGGGCTCTTCCAAATAAAGATACTGGCATTTGCTCTGTTTTGAAGTGGTGAATCAAATTTCATTTAGTCCGCTAGAGAGAATGCAGAGAGTCTGTGGTAGGTTGAAGATACTGTTCAAAGATGCCTTTAGCACTTTTTAATTACTTGTGGAAGTGTTGTACTGTGTCAGCTATGCATTTTGTAACACATTAACCTCTACAAAGCAAACAGACCAAAATTACAAGGAACAAAGGTTGTGGTTAGCACTCACAATCAAAGATATTCATTTTTTCCCATTGTTACATCTTGCAATGATATGTAGGTGTCTTTCCCCAAGAGCCCTTATATAGTATTACACAATTACACTAATAATTAAGAAATGGGCTCTACAGATTTAGTTTTCTTCTCTTATAAAACTGATCACTCTATTAATTCTTTTGTACATATACACTGTAAACAAACATATACCCTCTGTACATGGCAGGGATGTGTATATGCAATATATATGAGGCAGAGTGACAAACAAAAATGGAGAAAGATGCCAATTTACTAATAAAGATTTTGAAGTAGGCATGATTATTTTGTGTGATCTGGGACGTCAAAGGCCAGTTCCGAAAACAACTGCAACAGGTGTAAAGCAATAATGAGATAAAGTCCCCAAGACTGTAGTCTGAAAAAGCAAAGCCTTGCAGGTAGCCTGGTCCATAAAGAAACAAACATAAGGTGAAATAAGATGCCTAAAAATTAAATATTGGTTCTAAACAGCAACAATAATGGTTACAGTTTTAAAATGAGCTATGCTGGCAACAAGTATAACACCTGGCAGCCTGAGACAGGCATTTTACACCAACCTATCATCACCGACAGATGGAAATTACCACACTTTTGAGTAAAAGTACAAGATGGATTATGAAGTTAAAGCCTTTTTCTGTCCCACATACAGCAATCTGTTTTGCTATGTCTAGTGTGAAGGGAAGCCCTTATTAACAGATGATAAGGCTGATTCCCTCACCAACCTCAGGTATGTATGCCCACACACTGATTTCCACATAACAAAGGCTTGTTCTGTTATTAATTAGATACAGCAAACTACTGTAGGTGTCTTGTGTTACGGGAAAGGGGTTATTCAGTGCATAGACGAAAAGCTGTAAGGTCACTCAGTCCAAAGACATGGGTTAGGTCTGATTAAATGTAAACAATTCTAGCATTTAATTCACTCAAGGCTCTTTAAAAAATAAAAATACTGGGCGAACTTAATATTTTATTCTATACAACTAAAGAGAAGAAAACCCTGAAATGTGTTTTTAGGTGCCAGTCTTACTTGGAGGTCTGCATAGCGGCTTTTGTGAGCCTCTGCTTCTGTCTCCTTGTCTTTCAGAAACTCTTCTTCTAATTTGGCATGCTTTTCCATCATCTCCTCGAGATCCTGCAAGCAGCAACAAAAGGGTATGGACTGAATCTTTCCTGGTCTTTTTCAATGAATTACTTCACTAAAATTTTAAAAAGAAATAAAACTATAACTCTTCCAAATGTTCTCAATATGAGTCTCAAATATAGCTATGACCCCTGCACACTGTCCTGAATGTTACTGCAGATTTCAAATGTACTGTACATCAAATAAGGAATTCATCAGGAAGAAAATTTTGAAATGTCATGAAATACCATGGGGAATATCACCCATTTATGGGTCTGCATTCTGCAAATCTCCAGTGCTGCCCAAGTAACAAAAAGCATATTACCCTGGAGTGTGCAAGACCATAATCTTTTTGCCAATATCTGTCCCATCGATACAACAAGGTTGGACAGGTCTACAATGTAGACTCCTAAACATCCATTAAAGTGTATTCTTGTTATATATATAAAGTGGTGCCCATTTACCTTTTTGATCTGGGATTTTTCTTCTTCAGTGGCAGAAAGTTTAGCCTGCAGACTGGACAGTGTTTGCTGGAGCTGCTTCTGAGTTTCCCATGACAGTGATGACACACTACCCTTCTGAGAAGTAACAGTTGATTCTGCAGCAGATAGTGAGTCCTCACAAGGAACGGGGAAAGCCTAAACACAAGCAGTAGAGTGATAACTTTAATTTCGGGTTCTGGGAGCAACTGTTTTACTACATGGTACTTCTGCATTCTTACTTCAAGAGAGCTTCAATATCTGACTAGAGCCTTACATTCACTCCAATACAGACTAGCTACTGACTGTTTCAGATTTCAAATACTGTACCATCTATAAGAAGATATTCAAATACTACTGTTATCACAATAAACAGTCTTAAAAAGCGTGTGTAAGGGTCCAAAACCAAAGAACCTACAGTAAGTTGCTATAATGTAATATATGTAGTGGAGCACTGAATATTAATACTAATGAGGCACAGAGTTTTACATTTTTAAGAGAGGCCCTTGATACTGTGTTAAACTATAAGAGTGATGGGTATAGAAGAGCTGCACAAGGGTGGGGGAGTCGCATGTGCCAGTTAGTACCACTCAATTCTGTGGAGAGTACTGGGTCTGGGCCTGTCCTTGCAATGGGATTTAATCTGCGGTCCCTGTAGTCCACACTGAAGGATACAAAGAAATGGAAGAGAGCCTCTCTCCACTTAAGAGTGAGACAGGGAGCTACCGAGTTTCCCGTTGTCCACTGGCAGAGGGAACATGATGGATTACATACCTGCTGCTCCTCCTGAGCACTGATGACTGGGACAGGGCGAGGGGTGTCAGACTGCTGGAGGGGCCCTGAGAGAAGGGTCACAGAGCTGGAAGCTGTCTGGTCCAGTGGGAGGTCTGGAGGGGCACTCTGGGAGAGTTTCATCCCCGGAACTGCACAATCGAGAAAGTATAGGGGGAGAATAAACAAAACAAAACACATCAACAAGTGAAGTGTTCCCACTTGATCACCTTGTCCTAAGATCAAGTGACTTGGACTATAGCACTGAGTACAGGAAAATATCAGGTTACTTACAGTATACTTTAATTTAATATGATCAAAATTATATAAACCTGTTCAATCAAAGCCTATTTAAAATCTCACAAGATCTGCCGCAGAAAGAAGTTCCAGATAAAGAAAATACTTATACAGATACAAGAATACACACAGTACATACAGTATTTAACATATTAATACACGATCAAACCTCTGTGCTACCACTTTAATTTTACAGTGAATTCAGAGGAGTAACAGCTTTTATTGACTATTTTGGCTGTTCTTAAAAAAAAATCAAAATCAAAATTTCTTCAGCACCACTTCATAAACGTCGTTTTTGCACATAATCCCCATCTCTGCATAGGTCACCAGGAGAGGAAGCTGCATGAACCAGCCGAAGAGGGGAGAGAAGGGGCCTGCTGGATTTACGAGGTGATGATCTGAGCCTCGCCTCCGGGCACAGCCCCGAGGGCAACGTTCGGAAAAGACAGCAGAAAAGCACAGCAGTGGAAATCTTGCTGAAGTGTGCTTGAAAAGGATCCCTTTTCTTTTCCCTCAACAGACGGCTCGGTTTTCATACCAGCTACTTACACTGGCTGGGAGAAGACTACATTTGTTTTCGTTAGAAAGTTTTTTTTTTTTTTAATTGCAACTGCGTTCAGTGTAGTTTGGCAGAGCTGCTGCTGAAAATGCTGATTTACCAGACAGGGACTCCAAAGTCATTCATGAGGCCGGAGAGGAAGGTTAACGGACAGGTTTCCAATGGTCAGCCCAAAGCAAAGCTGAAGCGTCCAAAACCGCAACAGAGAAGGTCAAATACCTTCTCAAAATTCCAGTCCCTAAACACTGTTAAATCACATATCTGCTTGTATGGTATTTTGCAACTACTGCAATAGTTATATTCTCCAAAAATATGTTTTACAGTTCCCCCTCTTCAAGACTTGAGTCTAGATTTATTTTTCCTAATTTTTTCATAGAAGGTCCTAAGATCTAGTATCACAGGATTTGATCAGTCCAACACAATCACACATTGACTTGTGACCTTTTGCAAGAAAACACTGGAGATTACCAATTCATATGCTCTTCATCTTTGGACTAGAGATATTAGCTTGTAATCTACAGTATTAGTGGTGTCTCTAAAACAGAAATCAGAGCATGTCTGTTTGAATATGCACATATGCATCAACTCTGAATTAAACCTTGCTTTCTTATGTGCTGATATTGCATTTTCACACAAAAAGTTTGGAAAGTAATTTCTTTCCATAAAAAATGTACAAAAACGACACTGAGACGTGACTAAAGTATAAACTCTATACCTCTGTAGCTCAGCACTTTGGTAATGTTTCTCTAAAATGCATCGGGGGAAAAACAGCATTCAGAAATAAAAAGAGATAAAGCCTGGAAAGCCTAGATCAATTTGGCAACATGTCAAATATATAATTGTTTGCAATGCACAGTAATGCAAATCATTGTTAGACTTTCATTCCTTCACCATTATGTAAAACATTGAATTGTGTTTTGTGCTACCTTAACAGTTTCTAAAAGATGGAATACAAGGGAATATCTTTTCCTTGCATTGCAGCCATATCGCCCTGCAACTCACAACTGGCAACCCACTGAAGATAAGCAGGTGTGAGCCTGGTCAGTACTTGGATGGGAGACCTCCTGGGAAAAACTAAGGTTGTTGCTGGAAGTGGTGTTAGTGGGGCCAGCAGGGGGCGCTCACACTGCGGTCCATGTGGGTCCTAATGCCCCAGTATAGTGATGGGGACACTATACTGAAAACAGGCGCCGTCCTTCGGATGA